ACTAAAAATAAAATATTAGCTGGGTATGGTGGTGCACACCTGTAATCCCAGCTACTCAGGAAGCTGCGACAGGAGAATGGCTTGAACACGGGAGGTAGAGATAGTAGTCAGTCGAGATCGCGCCACTGCACTGCAGCCTGGGGACAGATCGAGGCTTTGTCTGAAAAAAAAAAAGAAGAAAAAGAAAGAAAGAAAAAAAATCCTTCTCCAGAACAATCTTTAGATAATTTTGAACCTAATTTATAATACGATTTTTGTATTGGAATTAGTGGTGGTGCCAAAAGGGAGAGCCAGAGCCCAGTGGGCCTTCTTTTAAGAGATGATTGCAGAAAGTAATACAGCCTTTTGAAACAGAAGGTCAATACACACAGCCTTATGGTTCAGAAACCAGAAAAATTCTTGCAAACCTTGAAGCAAAAATTCTTGGTAGTATGTTCCTAATAAAAATTTTTGTGAAATTATTGCAACTCTTTATGTCTATCACATAGAGAAGGAAATTTTCTTTTTCTTGGAGATTAGATACCATTCATTTACTACCTATTGTGAAAGGCCACTCTCTCCTTACCTTGCCCCCTGCACTGTACTGGGGATAAATCTCATCTCCCATTCTTTGACATGTATACCACATACAGATGTTTACTGGTGTATTTATAATATTATGCTTGATGATACCTATAGTTGTGAAGAATAATCATTTATGGTTTTAAATCAGGCCTTTATTTATATTTCTGTTATGAAGGATACTTTGTTCATTTAAACAAGATAATGATCATAGTTATCACACACACACAAAAGGTTGAATGTGTTTGGAACACCTGTGGTAAGATACTGGGGAGTCAAAGATATTTTATTTACTTAAATGGCTGTTTCTGATGGTGCATCTGCTAAAATAAATAACCTGGACACCTAAAAGGATGTTAACAAATGAATTTGCTCATTTTACTTTTCCTATACAAACAATTTTTTTTTAACTTGGAAAATATGCATACCTGACAGCGATTGTTTACTGGTTTGAAGATTTAAATTCAGATTGCCAACATTATGTGACGTATAGCAAACCTTTTGCATTCCCATTCTGATAGATACTAATGGAATAGAATATAAACAATGTTTCCAGATATCTATGTTACAGAGTGGTTCATTTAAAATTGATCTCATTCTAAGATATATTAGATTAATAAGTCTGATTTTATGACCAGTGTAATTTATATTCACAAATACCTATTTTTATTAGCACAGTTACAGGTTGTAAGCAAATTTCCATATATGTTAAATACTAACAACAAGAATAACTAACATTTCTGTAGTGAGTTACAGTTTATAACCATACATTATCTACAAGCTGTTCTTTAGAAGAATATTTATTGCACTTTCTTCCTTAAGAAGGCAATCAGTTTTTACATTGTAAACATTATTTGAAAATAGGTCCTTTTGTCAGAGTTCCCTCCCTTCCTTCCTCTTTCTTTCCTGTTTCTTGTTTTTTTTTTTTTTTATCCATTCTTCCATTTTTCTTCTTTCCTCCCTTAATGGGGAGAAAAACCTAATGACATTTTTTTGGTGGAGTATGTATAATTGCTTATCATACATTTTTATGAAAGAAGTAGACATAGCAAGCAATCCCACATGATTTTTGGAATATATCTTCTGCTCACCAGTGTTCTTGAGGAAAATGTAAGGTTGCAGAAATCATTTCATGCCCTGTATGTTTTCAAACATAAATCAGGAAAATTGTTAGCGAGTTATAGCTTTTCTTAGAGACTGTAGCTATAGTGCTATAGTAAACATGGGCTATATATTTTTCCAAGTTATTATGTGTGGAGAGAAATCTGAAGTTGGCTATTTAGATGAACAGTTTAATTCAGTTATTAGAAATTCATTTTCTATTTAGTATGAACATTTATTTTCCTAAAGTTGCAGAATTGGGATATATTGCCTGATAATGGTTTGGCCCAATCACCTTCAAAGTTAGGACTGTGCTCCTTGTAGCTAATGTGCAAACTAGCGGATGTCAGTCCTCAGCTAAAGGTCACTCAAAATGGTGCTAAGCTGGGTTTGTAGTATGAGCTGGTTACTCACTTCATCAGAGGGCAGTAGTGAACCTTTGTTTCTTCATTTCTAAAATGAAGGGGTTTGACTCCATGGTCTCCAACTTACTCCACCCCTGAAATTCTGAGTTTAGTGAATGATTGATAATGAATCAATCAATTCATCATACACCTATTTATTTCCATTCTATAAACTAACTATTTACTTAAGTATGGCCTTATGCCCTGACTAGAAATATTAGTATGAAGAGTAGTAAATGAGCTCAGTATCTGTGTTTTGGAATGAAAGCCTCATGAAATTTAGAGTCTGGTTTGCATTACAATTTTTTCATTGTAAATCAATTATTAGATATTTAAAACAACTTTTTTTGGGTCCTGCAGAAAACAATCTTAAATGCTCATTACTTTCCTAGGCTAGACCATAAAAGCCCATTGTTACTTACTGGAGTGAAATAGTATATTATCAGTGATGAACAAAATGTAAAGAACAGTTCTATTATGATACAAGTAATAAACAGAATACAAAGGCAGTAAAACAGAATGATAGTTTATCATTTATCTAGATTTGCAATGGTTGATGTTTAAAAGAATGCACATATAACAGGAAGTTTAAAAGAGACAGAAACAATTGCAGAGTATCTGTAAGAGATTCTTAGACACTTTCGGGACTTTTTGAGGCTGGTTGCAAAGTATATGACTTTTCTTTCCCTGATATACTGAAATATTAGCAATACTTTTAAGTTTATCACTTGTGATAAGATATGGCTTTTGGCACCTAAATTCATTGAACAGGGGGAGTGAGGAAAAATGGAGACAGAAAAAAAGCTATTCTCTGAAATAGTTGGCCAAGTTATGAGAGAAGAAAAAATGGAAGCAGTTGGATGTAGAAGAGGGTGAGCTGTGTATAGCGGGGGGTAGGGGTGAGGGGTGGGGATAAGGGTGGAGAATAGCTTTGTCTGTATTTAACTGAGCTGTGGGATGTGAAGCCAAAAGGAAAAAGAGGCAAACTAGTGTGTGCATATATCCCCTGAAGGGAAAGGACAGTGCGTTATGAGAAAAGGCTTTGGAATTAGAACTCTCATTTCAAAATCTCCACTGGATCACTTATTGCCTGTATGATTTTGAGAAATTAATTCTTTGAACCTTTATAATTATAAAAATTTGAATAATAAAAGCATCTACTTCTCAAGATGGATATGAGAGTTGAATCAGACTCTTGAGTATAAAAGTGCTTATAAACGGTAAAGTTCCTTGGTTTCAGGTGGTGAAGAAGAGTCATTGGGTGCACCATTTCTCTGTGCTAAAAAGATCTGACCATTCTGAGGTGAATTTGCTCAGCTCCAGAGTGGCCTTTGGTTGGTACATTTCTTGTCCACTGTAGAATAAGCATTGTGGTTGGTACTTCAGAGAGGTACTTCAGAGAGCAAGCAGGAAGTAGTTGCTGGGCAACTGCTAGTTTCTCCCTGAAGTAGTTGCAGGGCAGCTGGGCAGCTGGACATGGAAGATGGTAGCAAGCCTGATAATTCTAACGTATGCAGTGCCAGTGCTTGAGCATATTTACTTTCCCTTACAGATGGCCACAGCTTGTCTAAACAAACAAGTGACTGACTTTGGAAACAAAAACAATGTATTCAGTAATTGTGTTCTTTATCTCAAATATCGCCTGTTATCTGCACTTTTGCCATGACGTTGCTATTAATCTAAATTTCTTGGATTTTTGTTAAGGCTGAAGGAATCATTGTTTGGTAGTAAATACTTAGAAAGAGTGTTATAAATTCTATTTTAAAAGGTGCCCAGGGTATAAGATTAGAACAAATGCACACAGTAAGTGCTGGGTCCAGTGGTTTATACCTGTAATCCCAGCTACTTGGGACGGTGAGGCTTGATAAATGTTTGAGGCCTGGAGTTGGGGTCTGCCTGGGCGACATAACAAGGCCCCATCTCTAAAAAATGCCAACCAACCAAACAAAAAGAACTAATGAATGTAACACATTAGTTGAAATCCAAGTTCTAGACACTATACACATGTCTTTTAAGAATATTTTTGGCCGGACACAGTGGCTCACACCTGTAATCCCAGCACTTTGGGAGGCCGAGGTGGGCAAATCACCTGAGGTCGGGAGGTGGAGACCAGCTTGACCAACATGGGGAAACCCTATCTCTACAAAAAAAATACAAAATTAGCCGGGCGTGGTGGCACATGCCTGTAATCCCAGCTACTCGGGAGGCTGAGGCAGGAGAAAAGCTTGAACCCGGGAGGCAGAGGTTGTGGTGAGCCGAGATTGTGCCATTGCACTCCAGCCTGGGCAACAAGAGCGAAACTCTGTCTGGAAAAAAAAAAAAAAAAAAAAAAAAAAAGAAAAGAAAATTTTTGTCTGTAATTCACTGATAAATGTCTAATCAATTCTTTCATCAGAAATGCACTACATTTTAATGCATAAAATGAAGCAGTAGATCAATAATTATTTAAGAAATTCGAGCTATTTGTATAGATTATATATGTATAAAAAGCAAACTCTACCCAAGATTGCTGGATGCTGTGCTTTGATTTACAAGATAATGATCAACAGAATTCTACACTTTGTGAACTGTTAAACCTAGAAACTGGGGCCAGGTGCGACGGCTCACGGCTGGATCCCAGCCCTTTGGGAGGCCGAGGCGGGCGGATCACGAGGTCAGGAGATCGAGACCATCCTGGCTAACACGGTGAAACCCCGTCTCTATAAAAATACAAAAATTAGCCGGGCGAGGTGGCGGGCGCCTGTAGTCCCAGCTACTCGGGAGGCTGAGGCAGGAGAATGGCGTGAACCCAGGAGGCGGAGCTTGCGGTGATACGAGATCACGCCAGTGCACTCCAGCCTGGGCGACAGCGTGAGACTCCCTCTCAAAAAAAAACAAAAAACAAAAAACAACAAAAAAAAAACCAACCAACCAACCAAACAACCAAGCAAAAAAAAAAAAAAAAAAACTAGAAACTGGAGTGGACCCAGAAATCAAGAGATATCTTCGGGTCAGGCTTGAATTAGAAAGTAAATATTTAATCACTCTTACCAAAATTCATCAGGGCTTCAATGTACAGGATATGTGCTAAACAAAGGAAGAAAACGATCTTCAGGGAGTTTGATGATGAGTCCGTGTTAAGAACTTTGACATGTATATAATTATTTAGAAGTAATAACATAGACAGCAAGAGCACTGGAAGGCCACATATAACCTCCAAACCATCATTTATTGAAGGGTTCCAGCTTTCTGTGAGGGTGATTTTGGACAGTAAAATTGACCCAACTTGAGGGTTTTTTTTTTTTTTTTTTCAATTTAGGAAAATTTATTAAACAGGTAATATCTTTAACATCATGCTAGGTCTGTTTGAGAATATAAAGTAATTTTAAGATATAGTGCCTCTCTTTAAGGGACTTATGCTACCTGCAGGGAAGTGCATTATATGTATATGTGACACTGTGAAGATAACAAGTATAATATCAAATAATACAAAATATGAATGCTGTGTGGTCACTTCATATATATATACGTTATATATATACACACATACACATATATATGTATATACACATACACATATATATATATGTATATGCACACACACACATACCTTAAAGAGTACTTGACAGATTGACAGAATCAGAGAAATTGGATTGATGTTTAGGCTGCAATTTACCAGCTGTGTGACCCTCATCTCTTCAAGCCAAAGTTTTCCCATTTATAAACTGGGTGTAGCTTCATCTATCTCACAGGACTATTGGAAGGATCAAATGAAACAGAGCATTTAAACAGAGACTGCACAAATTATGGGAGGGAAGGAGGAAATACGTAACACTTGTGGAACTGCACTTGAGGGTAGAGACCATGTCTTAACTGACTTTGTGCCACCAGTGTCTGGCACCGTGACTGGCTCTGAGAGGAGGCTCAGTAAATGTTTGTAAATGCATGCATGCCAGGCGCTGTGATAAGCCCTTGACATGTGTTATTGTTTAAAACTTCACAAAAAAATTGTGTGTGGTAGATATAGTGCCTCCATTTCACAGATGAGAAAACAGAAGTTCAGAGATTTTTAAGCAACCTCCAACCTCATGTAGGTAGAAAGTGGTAGAGATAGGAAGTTAGATCTACTTGGCACCAGAGCCCAGAGTCTATTCATTACATTATGTGGACTCTCAGATGTAAGAGAATTATCATTATTCCTGAACAATAGTGTGGCCAGAATGAAAAACAAAGACCTTGGATAATTCACCAGTTGCCCAGGCAGCTCCTGGGCTGGCTTTCAGATAAGTAGGGGAACATTCTCCTGAGCTGCCTGACACATTTAACGTGGCCTTTTGTTAAACTGTCAGTTCTGATTTCTGCCCTTTGAAGTAAAAAGCACAATAGTGAAAAATACCATATAATATACCATAACCTGGACTTGTCTTAGAGACAGAAGAGAAAGGAAGGGCAGTGAGGAACTCACAGTTAATGAAGTGGTTAACCAATGACTTGAATTAAGTTTGTTACTGACACTAGCAGCCGCCCCTACCTTCTGTCTCTGTCTCTCTCTTTCTGGCTCTTACTCTGTCTTAACTTTCACTACTAGAGTTGGTAAGGTCTAGAATTTTCACTCTCTTCCATGTTAAGGATGATAATAAAGAAGGTGATTCCACTGCTGAACAGTGGAATATTTCATGTTCTTCATTGCTTGTCTGTTCCTAACATCCCTATAGCTCATTACAATAGTTGGTTCTGTTGGAGTGAAGTTTTGCAGCCATCCCCAGTTTCTAATGAACAATACTAAAATGGCCCCTGACGACATGGTAATGTTAAAACTCCAGCCTCTGCATTGGGAGACAGAATGCAGAAGTTGATACCAGACTACCCGATCTTACATTATTTTGTCCTCAGTTTATTTCTGAGGAACAACAGAAGAACCTTACATACAAAGGTTTCCATAAGAAGCAGAGGGAAATACATTTTTAAAAATCCTGATTCATTTTAAAGCTTCTGTTAAAATATAGTACAGTGTAGGTCAGGACAGCAGAGACAGGAACTACGTAGAAGTCCCGAGAATACCTTACACTGTTGTCAGAATCCAACCAGTAACAGTGTGTGGTTTCCCAGGGACTGCGCTAACATACCTGAGATGGAACCTGGTGGGGAGACACTTTCCACATTCCTTTCTGACCTGTGGTGAGTCTGCTGGGGTGAATCGTGTGAAGTTGTCAAAGGTTGCTCTGCTCTCCAGCACTTGGCACCAGCTCCGCTGAAATGTGATGCCATTGGTTTTCAGTAAAGGTTCCTTTCTGCAGGGCTGCAAACACAGATCAGCTGCTACTGTGTATACACAACCGGGGAGCAAATCAACCAGCACATTTAGAGCAGCCTTTTTAACCCTGAGACTTTCCAAGATCTCCTCTTCACACAGGAAGTTTCCTTCTCTGTTGTCAGATTTAGCACTGTGCTCTTGTCATCAGATCCGAGCTAGGCTCCCTGCTGCACAGTAGAGAGGCTTCCTTAAGACATTTGTCCTTGAAACTGCACCAAACTCTTGGAAGAACCCAGAACGTGTAAGTATGTATGATTTAGGCAGCAATAGTACAGGGCAAAGCTGCAATCAACCATTATACAATATCCGATTAGCAGTGCAGGAGGGATTTTTCCGACGTTATGTTACATTCATTTTCAATTCGTTCTGAGGAAACAAATCAATTCTAGCTTCTGATACAGTGACTTTGCAGTAGATGGGGTTGTAATATGTTAGCTTTAACTATTTGCTGTTCTCATTTAGCATTTAGATGTGACTTGTGGGACAATTACTGTGGGCATTAAACTATAAAACTTCTACATTTTTATTAGGATTTGTAATTGTTGGTCATGTCCATCTTGAGAAACAAGTTAGCTTTGGGGAATGTTTTTAAAGAATTAACCACATAAATTCATGGACAATAGAATGAATTTGTACTGTTCTTGCTCTCAAAACATAATAGTTTGCAGTTTTAATTTACTCGTAAAGAGCATTCCACTGAGGTTTTGTCTTAATTGAATCCTACCCAGTGCTGTCTGTTTGGTGTTTTACTGTCTTGTATATAACTGTTTAAGTTACTTTGCTAGGATTGCAGTCTGGTTAAACCTGTATTTAGCCACTACTTAGATTCTAAGAACATTCAGGTCAGATAAATGCTCACAGAATTTTAGAAAGTGGTGGATTTGTTTTCAAGGGTGGTCGTATTACCCTTGAAAGCTTTTTAGATGCACAACGTGAATGGCTGTCAGATGGAGACCACAGACAGAACACTCTGAGGCTCTAAGTCAAATCTCGGCTTGTCCACTTTTGTAACTCCAATTAACTCCAACCAATAAAAGCCCGTGCCCCCTTTCTATCAATTTTTAATATGCAACAATACTTCTGTTTGTAAGATTAATTTCTCTCAGATTAGTCTGATTGATAGCTGGATTGTGGTTTCTTAAGAGCTTGCTCCCTGAAACCCACAGCAGAGCTGCATTCCATTTAACTAGTGAATGTAAAAACGGGTAACCATGGATTCAGCCACCACTAACTGCCAGTGCAATGACTTGTTGTAAACAATACAAATGAGCCAGGAGAGCAGAGGCAACCAGACATGAAATGATTTTAATAGAAATTACGGTAAAAGGTCATGTGATTTGGTATCAGCTTCTGTTCAGTTTTAAAGGGAAAGTCTTTCTTTTCTGCCCCTTCTTCCCCCCTTACCTATTTCCAACCAACCCAAGTAGGTATCTCCACAAACTTGGCAGGTCCCACTCTGTGCTTCCATGGAGAAGGGCGGCCAATGTGATTCTGGGCAAAGTGTGGTGACTTGTGGATTTTCACTGGTAAGTACCTTTATTTTAGAAACAAAAAGGAAGTCTGTATTTCAGGGCTTCCTTTATGGAAGGTCAAGCTAATTGTGTACTAGAAGTTCTCAAGTCTTGACATAAGAGGAATAGGTCATTTCGTTCCTTAGCTTTAAATGGTACAACTGTCTTTTCTGTCTTTCCCTAAGTCTCTAGATCAATTCGTAAACTCGGTCTTTCTGAGAACTGTTATTTGCTTTAGAAACAACTTCTACAATATGGTAATAAGCACATGCAGATACTGTGAGAAGTGCTGTGTCCTAACCTCAGGGTTTTCGTCCACCCAGATATTTTCTGAGTTCTACAAGGACCAGATATTGCAATAATATTTGCATTTCTCTGGTAAAGGTGGTTTCAGTATGTGAAAATGATTGTATTCATAAATTTGCCTTCAACCAAGAATAAGGAGCACATTGTATCTGTGTTAAGTGCTAACCTCATGGTTTGTTTGGTGTGCTGTTATCTGCTATGCTTATTTTAAAAAAATAAGTGAAGAAGGTCTAGTAGCCAAAGTTGGGGGGAAAGGGGACACTTAGAAGCACAGCTGTGTCTTTATCCAGATCTGGAGGGTGGATCTAGTCAGTACACAGCATGCAGGAATGAAGGTGCTCCGAGTCACAGTCTCAAGCAACCACAGGCACTTTAAGCAAAAGACTCTGTCTAGGTGTGCTGAGCTTCAAGGTAAAACAGACCTGAACTGGTTTCTTTAGCCATACCTCCTTCCACATACAGATGGTATAAATAATTGCATCATCCTGGAACAAAAGATAACATCTCTTTTAACTGCTTTTAACATATAGATTCTTCTGAATAGATGCATCACTGTACATACACAGGTGTCATACTGAACGATAGAATTTCAGGTGTGTATTTTTCTATTAATACCTCTACTGTAATAGAACCAATCAGCACATGAAAAAGCATGAGGGTTATAATTTAGAAACTCAATAAAATGTAAAAGCATCAGCCCCCTCTACATACACTCCAGATTTTATCTGGCAAACTCTTTGTTTAGAACTGTAAGTGCTAAGTGTTAACATAGTGCTTATATTTAAGCTTTTTTTAAATCAATCTTTTTAAGATGTTGGAGAGCCTTATTGCATACTTAGACTGAAGAATGTTTCAAAATATCATGGTTAATACTGTGATCTCATGATGTGTTTTCTATTCTAATACCAGCTATGTTTATCAAAAAGATATAAAAGAATAAATCTAGTAATTAATGTTGGCAGGGGGAAAGGAGCAATTTGAAGCAAGTGTGGGAACACCAAGTATAAATGGAGTTTGGGGTAAAATATAATAAAAATATGCTTTTTTACTTTTCCTTACCTTGATTCTCCAAACTGAAAGATAGGAATAGAAGTGTTAGGTGCAGGGTGATTATGAAGCAAAATATTCAGAGTCAGACATGGGTTGGTGTTTTGCTCTGGACCTAACTATGTTTAAGATTTTTACGCTAAAAGACTTCCCCTACCTGACCTTCCACATTCTCATCTGTAGAGTGAGGGTAATAATGTACACCAATGTTGGTTGAAAGAGTTACATGAGATAACATATGGAAAGTACTCAGCAATTTGTGTGGCAGAGTAAGTGTCCAGTAAACTGTTGCTGGTTTCATTATTATCTTGACCCTCCAACAACATGGGTTTGAACTGTGCAAGTCCACTTGTGGGTAGATTTTTTTACAGCCCAACACCGATCAAAACTACCATGTTTGTGGGATGTGAAACCCATGTCCAGAGGGCTGACTTTTTGTATACGTGGGTTCAGCAGGGCTGATTGCAGGACTTGAGTATGTTTAGGCTCTGGTATATGCAGGGGGCCTGGAACCAATCCCGAAGGATACTGATGGATGACTGTATTTTTGATTGAGGAAAAATATCGTCAAGTAGAATCCTGCTCTGTGTGCTTTACAGAGAAGGACGCTGTTGACATCATTGTTTGGTCCTGTCATAGTGACAACTGTACACCATAGTAACTTTCATCACTTGGGAGATAGTGATGCATTTTGTATCCTAGTATAGTGTTTTACTTTTAAAAAGTATTTTTTTTTTTTTTTTTTTTTGAGATAGGGTCTTTCTCTGTTGCTCAGGCTGGAGTGCAGTGGCACAATCATAGCTTATTGCAACCTTGAACTCCTGGGCTCAATTTTTTAAACATTTTGTAGAGATGGCATCTTGCTTTGTTGCCTAGGCTGTTCTCGAGTTCCTAGGCTCAAGCTATCCTCCCACCTTGGCCTCCCGAAGTGCTAGGATTACAGGCATGAGCCACTGCACTTACCCTATATAACATTGTTATTAAAAACCAAAAGTAATATTTATATTCATTATTTTTTAAATTTTCATGCAAAGTACTTAGAAAAGCTAGTTGAGCTTTGTTTTTTTTTTTTGTATTTGGAGTTTCTGATACTATGTGTATTGAGGCTAAATGCAGATTTTATGTATGATTCTATTGCTAGGGTTAAGGCAGAGGTACACTTAAAGACATTCATGGCCGGGCACGGTGGCTCACTCCTGTAATCCCAGCACTCTGAGAGGCCGAAGTGGGTGGATCACGTGAGGTCAGGAGTTCGAGACTAGCCCGGCCAACATGGTGAAACCCTGTCTCTACTAAAAATACAAAAAATTAGCCAGGCATGGTGGTGGGCACCTGTAACCTCAGCTATTCGGGAGGCTGAGGCAGTAGAATTGCTTGAACCTGGGAGGCGGAGGTTGCAGTGAGCCAAGATTGCACCATTGCACTCCAGCCCGGGTGACAGTGTGAGACTGTCTAAAAAAAAAAAAAAAAAAAAAAAAGGCATTCATAATTACTCTAATCCTAAAAGCTTAAAAGTAGAGGTTCACAAAGGTAATCATATATACTAAAGAGCAGTAATAATGATCAGACTAGTAAGTATGGAGTGTATATGCTACCAAAGGTATGTTTCTTGGGAGTATTGTCTACATGTTCACTGTGTCTTTTGACCTTGAAATCTAAGGATCTCATTCTTTCATTCTTCTCTCCTATTGTTCCTCCCTTCTTTTCTTCCCTCCCCTTTTATTCCCTCCCTCTTTTCTTTACTTCTCTTTCTCTCTTCCTCCTTCCTTCCTTGCTTTCTCCCTCCTTTTCTTTCTTCCTTCTTTCCTTCCTCCCTTCCAGCTCTTATATAATGTCCCAGCTACATAACATTTCATTTTTATTTGTGAATCAGAGGGTTCAGGGAATGAAAAATGAGGGAGACCCACAGTCTTTTGATGCCATCCCTTGTTTTATAAATGGAAACTTTAAGAGGAGTAAGAAAAATCCGTTTTTCTTTCTCCTGCTATTGAACAGGAGAGGCACATCTGAAGTGACCTGCAGACCCCAGGGAAGCCTTGCTCAGTAACTATTTGTTGATTCATTGATTAAACGGCATGGAGAGAAGGGGCATCAAGCACAGAGATCCCCTTAGTAGTGAAAGCTTTGAAACCCCAAGCTGCAATGTGCAGTAGGATGGCTTCTCTGTGACCTTCCAACAACTAATCTCCTTTAAGAACTGAATCAAAGCAGTTAAGAGATTCTGTCAGATGGATTTTGCCTACAGTTGGGTTTTTGGCAGTTGCATGTAGAAGGCAATACATTCTTCATGAGGATTTTTTTTTTTTTTTTTTTGTCCAGAAAGGAATGAAGATAAGGTGCCAGCAGAGATCTCTAGAGAGAGACTCTTATTTAGCCATGGTACTATTCAGGCAGGGACAGCTGCAAGGTGGATGACTTTCTCACACTTCCCAGCCAACCTTCTCTTTAACCACCCTTGTCTGATGCTCCAGTCAACAAGCACATCAGTGCAGTGGGCTTCTCTCTAAAATCTTCTTTCCCAAGGGCAGAGAACATGCCTTTGGGAGATATCATATGACTGGATAGCATATGAATTACAATGGGTATTTGTTATATTTTTCAAGAGAAATCATAGCATGTAGCAGGTTAGAGCTGAAACTCCTTTTTTTAATAGATAAATAAGTTGCCCACACAACGCGTGAGCTGCAAAACCAGGGCTGTGACTTGCGATTTCAGATTCTCAATCTAGTACTTTGTTGAGAGCTTCTGCTTTCTAATAAATAGATAGCAAAAGAGACAGCTTGTGTCATAGGAGAAAAAAAATCTACACACACACCCAGTTTAGAAAATAGTAAAACTATCTTAAGGGGACTGCTCAAAAGAGTCATTATAGGTCTGGTTCAAATCCTGAAGCTATAATTTCAAAATTCTGCAATCCTTGGGAAAGATGCTTAGCCCTTCAGAGTAGTGGTTTCCTTTGTTGTAAAGCTGGGGTTAAAATAACTATAATGTCTATATTTTAGGCCTATTTTGAGGATTAAATAAGATTATATATTTAAAATGCCTATTCCAGTGATTAACACAAAATAAATACCAGCAATATTATCGTACTCTTCTTTCCCTCTTCAGGTCAGTGGTATATGGTAGAATTATGAGAAAAGTCTTATAAGTATGCCTCTGGAATGGTGTAGCTCAGTGGTTTTCAACATTTTCTTCACACATACAGAAAACATATGTGAAGAATCACCACATCCTTGGCATAGAGTGATCAATACATAATAATACGATGGTGGTGATGATAACTGTGGTGGTGATGACAGAGATACTGATGCTGATGGGTGACAGGCACATACCACAGATGAGCACTGGACCCAGTCATTCCAGAGCTTTAGCTTGGATTGCACTGCTTTCTTTTCTACACTAGAAAGGAAATCAGAATGCTACTGAGCATGAATAATGACATTATAAGTGCAACTGCACCCATTTAAATTAAAAAGAAAGCAATCAGCAGACTCCAGTACTTTATTACTGGTCACAAATTACTGGCAACATACCAGTTGATTTAGAAGATGCCATCTTTCCTGGAGGAAGATGATTTTGGAGCATGCTTTACATCATAGCTCTAGAACTAGACCCCAGGGGTTTGAATTCTGGCTTATCTATCTGCGATGACCTAGGGAAGC